GTCGCGCTCGCCGCATGCGATCGCGCGTTATGAAGGGAAAGATTTGACTCTCCCATGGAAGATTACGGAGAGTAGCCGCGGACCCACTGCTGCAGGCCGTGGGAATTCGGGGAGCAGTCCCGTTACCCTACCATTGGCCGTGTTTCCGATCATTTTGATATTTTTATAACAAGTTTTTCGTGAAGGATTGTATAGCGATTTCTTCGTTCAGGAGGCGATCATTCCGTTTTTTGAGAATTGCTTTTGTCTTGAATATGTCCATGATAGAGAAAACGATAAAGAATAGCGTGTTTCCATTCAAGGGAGTTAGCAAACTTCTGCACTCTTGACCCTATACTGTCTAGTTACAATATTCTTGTGCCGTGCGAGGTTGTTAGGTGGAACTTTTATTAATCAACGGCCTAACGTTTCGACGTTCTCGTCGTCTTCAGAGGCCAAGGTTCCACCGCTCAAGCGGAATAAATCCGCTGTCGCCACAAGCGACTGTCAGTAGCGAATATACTATACTATACTATACTTCCTATACTGTCTGTTGAGATCTGGAGTGAGGTGGCATCCCTTCATACGATAGGAACGGATAGGAAGTCAAGCTTCGTTCGACAGACATCCTCATTGAAAGTTTCGATACTCCCAGCTCCGTTGCCGTCCTATTGATGGGTCACCCAGGACCACGATCGCCTCGCGAATAATCATTTAACTGTCCTATTTTTGGGAACATTGGTTTTTCTACCCATTCCGCTCCGCTTTTGATTGACTCTGCTTCTCCGTATCGTTCAATTGCCTTCTGAATTAGAATTATTGGAATCACGAGGAATTTGAGTACGCCCTTTCTCCTCTTGCTACGAATGATAGCTGGATGATCCTCCACCATCTGGATGATTTAAGGAGTCTCATCTCAGTAACAATACGCTTCGAAAGGAAACCTATTCGCAACTAATCAATAGCAATTCAGGTGAAATAAATAAATTGCTTCTGTACCAGAAATTTGAATTCTGGTGCCCATAATTTTATAACACCCTGAACAGGCCTCATATATTTTCAATTGATATCCCGATCCTGAATGGAAGCCGAGTCAATGGGGTTACCAAAAAAGAAGACAGTTACATCCTTTTACTTCTATACTGTTTAGTCTTTGATTTCACAACGAAAGGTGAGAGTATTAGCCTCCCAATCGTAAGAGGCCCTCACTGCAGTGCTCTCATTTTACTGCGACCTCCAGTTCTACTGACAATTAGGATTGCTGCCGAGCAAAATCCGTGATGGATATGGAAAATCAGTCTAGTGATACGGAAAAGCGACTGAGACATGGAAACTATCTGTCCTTGCCACCTTCATGAATTTACAGCTACAATTTCTTTCATAAAATCTTCACGACAGAAAAAGTGATCATGGATTCACAGTCATATTGGAAAGACTGTAAACATGTATTCGAACTTTTAGTCGACTCACTTGATACAAGAACTAGCTTGCTGTCCCTTCGCACATCTTGGAATAACTTTCTCCTCGAAAATCTTCACATATTTAGCAACGCAATCAGGAGCACCTGCTGCACAATATTCGCCAATTATCATCGACTGTAGATTGCTGAAAGCTCAATACTTCAGTAGTACCGTACTGACTGTTTATTAAAATGTTAAGTTTAACAATCTCAGAGAACTATAGTCGAAGCATTAACACAACTGATGCCCTCTGACGCTAACAGTCTGCCTTTTTCAATAGCCACACAACTGGTTTGTAATTGAAAAAAAACAGGTATAGTCTACTGCTTGGGCCAATTTACATAATATATTCGCATTCTGAGAAGAAACGTAGTACATCTCCGACCCCCACCGTGTCAAGCTGAGATGAACTTTATATCAGGCTACCCACATGCGGGCGTGGTTTAGATACTGCCTCAAGCCCACAGCTAAATTGTATGACAAGCATTTCTAGAAGCGCATGAATTTCTTCAGGTTTCCTTTAATTCAATGGGTCATGGCATGGTCATGGCTGCTTCCTGGGACTCCTAGTTTGAAAGTGTAGAAGTAATTGAGCTGAAAGGATTCATAGCACAGAAAGTTTACCGGAAGAAGTGCCGTCTCTACCAGCAACCGAGCAGGGATATCGAGTTTCCATGCAGTAGATTGAATCCGTCTTCTAGCAAGATCCTTTTTCCTCATTGCGATCGCCTTGAAGCACACGTCAAAGCTCGTAGCCGTCCTACCAATGGGTTCCCTCTGCCTTACTAATATTGCCCGTTTAAGGCATCGTCTCCCCTAATGGGTAATTCACAGCACTAACTCTGCGATTGAACAACGTCGCTAATTTCACGGGAATTTTCTCGACAAATAACACCTTTGCATAAGATTCCCTCCAATCAGGTGTAGGTGACAATTTTGAAATAAGGGAATCGTCTGGTAAACGAACGCAACCAAAAGAATCCATCGAGTTGGCAAAACGAGTTCGCTAAACAGGGGAAACATACGAAATCAATCTGCTGCTGAATTCCTGAATGTTTTCTTGAGCAGGTTGTATATACATATATTTTCACGAGGTTATACATATACATGCTTTATTAGGCTGACGTTTCGGCTGTTCCAGAGGCGCGAATGACTACCTGATCAAACGTCTTCACAGCCCCTCTTCAAGACTCCAGGGCACACAGGTGATTGAAAAGAGAACCAGTAACCGTAGCTTTGTGGATTCTTCGGAACAACCAAGTAACCGAAGGTACCAACCGATGGTACCATGGTACCTGCTGAAGGCCAGCCTTGTTTCTAGCCGTAACTCTCGCGTAAGTACGAGGCATTCTTTCCTACAGGGCATTCTTGAATTGCTGACCTGTATCAGAATGCCTAGAGAGTGACCTGCACAGTGGCCTCAAAAATCCTCCGCTATGCTTCTGAAATCGGGCGCGGTCTTCTGATATAACCGTCCCCTCTACTGATTAAAGCATAAAGACGGTTCGGCTACTCATCGAAAGCGGCAGGCCGAGTTCCCTGAGAAACTTTCCCGGGCTTTTTTCACCGATTTCATAAGGCGGCAACAGTGGTGTGTTCTGAAGTGCAGACTTTCCTATCTATTAACACTACACCCGCGACACATTGGATTACAGGCCGAAAAATTCGAAGGCTAATTGGAAACAGGGATCAAATCGCGAAATCTCGTGAGCACCAATCTTAATCTTTCTCCTCTTTCGCGAAAGTTCCGAACCCTATTCCCGGGATAAGACCATAGCCAGCACCTTCTCAGAAATTTCCCTCATGACGATGTTCTAATTAATTTTTATACTTTTCTCAACAAAAATAAGCTGTATCGCTCTGATGACACAGATTGCAGCCCAAACATCACAGAAGAGTAAGGACGCTACGAGAAATGTCCAAACGAGGAGAGATTCTGGGAAGGGGCTCAAAAAATGCGCGCAAAGACGGAACGGCTGCTGGATGAATGAGAGACTTCACCATTCCTTGAAAACTGACGAGCTGAGGGCGCAAAAGCAGACATATGAGCTAATGAATCTGATAGCATAAGAGACAGTGCAGAATCGAAGAACTTTCCCAACAAGGAAGTTGCGAGCTTCATAAAAGTCGATACCATATTTATGGCGCACACTTTATATTCTTCAACACATCGCAACAAGTAAGTTTGAGGTTGTACATAGGCAAAATAGGCGATTCCGCCGGAACGTCAGCCTTATAAGACTCACATACAAACCTCGTAAAAAGTTCAAGAAAACATCTCAGTAACATAGCAGTTATGCCAAAGTTCATAGAGAGCCGTACGTGTAAATACCAAAAATCCTAATGCAGACTTCGTTCGCTAATGCTTCCATTCATTTATTAAACTCATAGAGCATGACGGCGTAGGGAATATTGACAGTGCACAACAGCCATGCCATTATAAACACCACAATGTTTTTGTTCCATCAAAATCGGTAAAATACCACAAAAAAATTAAGTAGAAAAGAAACGACCTTTCCATGAAAAAATGATCTTTCCAGTAATCATTCGCTAATTGACCGAACGAACTTTGTCTGAATACTGGCTTCAAAAGTTTTCTTTTAAATCGCTGAAAGTCGACTAATTTTTCTTCAACAACATCCACGGTCTATAGTAAAATCATATGAAAAGTGCAGAAGACTGACCATGAATATTTCCTTATCTTGATTGCTATACATATAACTTCCTATAGAATTGAGGCCTTTGATTGCTGCAACCCAGGGAAGGAACTCCTGAACACGAACCTTTCTTCGTGATTGTTAATGATATCTTTCCGATCCTTCCACATTAAAAGCACAGTTTTTCTGAGAATCCCCGTTGAAATGAGCTGTGCTCCCACCCCCATCCCCCCTCCCCCCGCGAGCTTCTTTCTCTCCCTTGCTTCTTCTTACACTAGTTTGCACCATGGCTTCCATTATTTTACCCAAAGTAGACATCCTAAAATTATAGTGAACTGTGCCTTTAACATGAGAAAAGATGTAGTGGGGAATGGCCACTACAACACTAGCAAAGTCCGTGAATCGAAGCCCGGAGACAAAAACGGAATTGATTCACGCCGAAAACTAATCTCATCGTTTATCTTTTACAATAACATATCAAGAAAGCGTACCCTCTCACGCTCTAAGTATCCGATAAGATCAAGCACTACAGTGTAATCAAGACGGCCAATGGTGGCGGCTGCGAAAGCATCGCTAATAATAGCGTTTCTTGTGCGAGGACTGAATATCTAAAATAATAAAAAATGAAGGCTTGACATGCTTCATATAGCTTCCGTTTTTTACCAGCCTCCTTTTGCAGTTTTTAAGAATCAGGGATATGAATGTGAAGTTTTACAGTTTGCATGTAATTGGAACTCGGACCAAAATGCCAAGAAACTTCAACTAGGAAATGTTTTGTAGCCTAATTGACTTTTTCCACCGTTTTTTTTTCTCTGATAAATGATCTGATTTTCAGGTAGCCAACGGCTTCCCCCTTCTTGACCTTCCGTCTCATCATCTGTTCCTGTATATAAATAGGTATACATAGTTGGCGACAAAAAAATCCCGAGATTCCCCATGGCTCTTAAGGTGAAGGCTGAACGAATAAGAAAAACTACCAGTGAAAGACATCAAGATCTGGCCGGTTGACGCCTATACAAGGAAGTGGTCATGTTCTAAATTTACAATGGAGCATCATCACTGCGAATCGAAAAGCTTCCACAGGGCCGTCAAAAATTTGCACGTGTGTCCAGTAATCATCGATTTCCTCGAGCAGGCGCCTAGTCGTGAACCAGTGTAGTCCGATGACCATTCTCGTTCGTTAGACACGAGGGTAGCGTCCCCTCCGTTGAGATTCCGAGAGGTTATCTGGTCTTAGTGCTGACGGCTGTCGTGGTGGATCCAGTTAGTAAACGCCGTGGTTCAAAGGAAGTCACAAGGCATGCCTGGCTACCGGACTTCCGACTCCCATGAATAAGCGACGTCCCTGACCTCCATTCGTTTACCGAGCCCGGAACTCCGAATTCCCCTGCACTTGCATGTATCGGAAAGTTCCAAGCATTGCCCTACTCACTGCGCGTTGAAAGACACTTACTGCATGCTCATCCTGCTTGCGTAGAGTCCAGTCTTTGAGGCGTATGTCAAAAGGGGAAAGATCGCAGTGTCGAAAAGTGAGCGCACACTAGGCTGTTCTTAGTTTTCTTCCTCATTCCTTAGATACTGTTAAGTGCTCTCTACGCCGCGCTTTTCTTCTGCTCACTAGGTCCCTCATCGTGTTGACTACTCGACAGAGGTGTAGTAGCTAGAGAAATCAGAGAAGTCTGTTCATTCAACTTCAAAAGTGCACCAACTCAATTCGTTCCTCATAAACACTATATTCTTTAGGTTCAGTCTTTCGCCAGTCTCTCCATGAGTGTTGTCGATTTCGGCCAGCATGCGTTCCTCTGCCAAATGTTCGATGTTATAAGCTCAGTCTCAACTGCACGGCGTCTTTGCCGACCGTCTTCACCCGAATGTCCTCCCATTTCAACGACGCATGAAGGGCACAAGAGCGGCTTGATAGTTTGGGTCAGATTGTATCGCCCTGCCCAGCTCCACTCTTCACGATAACTAATAATTCCTATTGAAATGGTGAAATTTTGGTCGTAAAGTTGTCGTAGAATCACTAAGCAAGTTATATACTGAGTAAGAACACCTTAGTTACTAAAAGTTTCATCACCGCTTCTGTCTCGATGACATCAAACCTTCGAATCGATGAAGGACATAACGGCATCCCGAATTCTCGCGACCGTTCATTGCGTCGATATGATAGAATGGCGTGCTGAACCTGTTCGAGACCCTGTTTGTCCTTCGCCCAGTCCTATCAAATTCCTGCTTGTCCTTCTCTTAGTCCGGCCTATCCTGTTGAGGACGACTAGTGTGAAAGATTATAGGGTCACAGGAAGCACGTTGGGAGATAACTGTTAGTATCGAATGGTTATTCCTTACTATACTGCAATTCAGTTTTGCTAGTTTTTAACGGAGTGGGTGCCTTGCATTCCAATAGGTGCCGTGAGTGCCGCGTGAGATGGCCGTGAGAGCGGGCCAAGGTTACTACGATAAGTCGTAGAAGGCTCTTCAGATGTACTAATTCGATCCAATCGGTACTGGGTACAGTAACCACTTTTATCGTGAACTGTGCCTTTAAGCTCCGTGCCACTGACCTTTTGGAAAATAAAGCAAAGCCACCACATGGAGTGTTGCGGACGAAGGGCCAGATTACAGAGTCCATAAAGTTGACGTACATCTTAGAATCCATCTCATCCTCGACCCGGTGGAGCGGACCAAACTCTTACGATCGACTCGGATTATATCTAATACCGATATGACGTCGCAAAAGCTTGTCTTCAACCATCGCAAACATCAAAAACTTTGACCCTTTGCCCCCGATTACGCCACTGCTCAACGGTGCGATTCCTGCGGACATGACCCAACCAATCGAGACATGATTCGCGATTTCTGGCGTAAACCGACTGTTTCGTTAATTTACGATGTCCAAATAGACCGACCTTTTCCAAACAAAGCCCCCCCCCCATGTTCACTTCGGGCATCGAGATTTCGCGAAGAATCTCGGCTGCAGTAAAACTCTAGTCATTCCTTGGCAAGCCGCACAATGTTTCTATCGGCGAAATGACACGTTTAATTCCTGCCTTTTCAGAGTACCTTTTGATTACAGCTGACCATGTGTTCTTGTATTCCTTCCAATTCATTTAAACGCATCCATTTGACACCTCTTGAATTTCGATAGCTTGCCTAGATCTTTTGTGGAAGCTCCGAACGATGGTGTTGAGTTGATTTTACAGCAAGCTACGGACTGCCCATTGCATCGACATCGCCCGATTAATAACAGTTCGCATGTTGGGACACAAAACAGCGAGAAACGGCTCAAATTTTCAATTTTTGAGTACATCAATTATCGAAGGTGAAAATGTGCATTGGCGGGTGGATTGAAAATAAAGCACAAGCTTTGGTTGGAAGAGTGCTGTTGGACCATTACAAAACTGCGTGAGTCAACCACTGTACATGTTTACTGAAAAATTTGAATTATTTGGAAGTTGCATTCAAAGGAAGAAACGCGTTCTACATTGAACGGCACGTAATTCGCTTGTAAAACACAATCTCGAGCAAATTACACGCCCGAACTCCTGCTTCGGGAGTGAGCAAAACATCGCAGTTAGAAACCAACGAAACGGGAAACTTGTCTGGAGCAGTAATTGGAATTTTAAGAATAATAGAGTAAAGGGCAAAACTGATAAGATCGGTACATTCGTCACTGATATGCCGAAAATAATCCAACCTCGAACTACGAATCTACACTGATTATAACCAATGAGCACAAGATGTTTTTCAGCTCGAAGCGACAAACACCTCACCGCTCTATTTTAATACCTAATGAACGACCAGCCATTAGAGGATTACCTCGTAGTTGTGATTGAGTCGTTTAATTATTTTTCTCCATCCATTTTCGTCGTAATTTTGCCTGTAGAAACCATATCGTTCTGCGTTCACCACTATAGTCGTTGCACTAGTATTCGCAGGGATATAGAGTGGCTCATCTGAAGCTACTTGATGTAGGCTCCACCCAAATGAAAATGGAAAATCATGAAAAATGGTCGATTTCAAGTTTTTTCACAGCGGTCATTTTTCATCCGATAGGGTGGTTAAGTGCTACAGACGACCCTTTGGTCAGCACAAACGGAAGCGGATAATTGAAGACTGCTTATACATATATAAAAGATAAAGGAAAACTGACAGCTTCGATAGTTCTCGACAAACGAAACCAGTAGAAATGCCATGAAAAACAAGCTAATTCCCGGCGTAGGAAGTGTTCTGGGCGAACTCCCAAGAAGCTCTGCCCGTAGAAAGGAGATGAGACTAGCAGTAAGAGTACTAAAGCAAATGCCATCAAGCAGGATGACATTTCGGCGTCAATTCTTTGGCGAGACCCGCTTACACTGAGCAACCATCAGAATGGGTTGTTGATGAAGAAGCGATATTTACTTTATTTGTAACCCGATGCCAACCATTAGCTGGCGAGAGGAATAGAGAGAAATAGTCGGATTGTCTGGTTGCCGCCAGGTTCTCCTGCTTTTGAAGTTGAACTTGTCGCGCCTTCCGCATCCCTTGCGAACATGAATGCACTGACACAAAAGTAGAGAAGTTATGTATTGCCGGCCAAACATATGCACACATGGATACAACTGTTGAGCGCCAGTCCTACGTGAGCGGACCTCTGCTGGAGCCACGTGCGTTCAAGTAGCTTGGTCTATTTTTCACTTATTTCAACGTAGCTGCGTAGTTTTACTCAGCTTACGATCGCTTCACGTCCTATCCGCTATTAGCCCTACCGCCGATCATCGGAGGTTCCATTCTCTTGCGTATTCGCCTTCAGCCTCTGAGTGGATCCTTTTCAGAGAGCGAGACCAGGAGAAAAACTCATGCTCTCTTGATGGGGTCATCGTACCACCAACCGTAAATGTGTCTCATTCGAACGTGATCGCCCTGATTCCCAGCTAAAAAATTAGCGCATGCGCCACCCTTGCAGTCCTCCTATCATCGTCATCAGTGCTCCCATCCTGCCACCTCTACTCCAATCAAATTTGGACGCTCCAAGTTGAAAAGAACAGGATTCACGAGATTTTGCGCGAACTTACAAGCCGATAAACTATTAGACACAATCAGCGCGGTATATAGAGTAGTTATATATAGAATAGAGTCCGTTCACTTCATAATGCTAGTTATTCATTACAATGATACTAATTTTTACATTGAATTATTTATTACACATACAGGTGGTACTGCTCGGCAAAAGCCGAACTCTCCTCCCTCTCACAGTAAGTTTGACCCGCCGCCGCCTGCATTCCTGCAAATTTGAATGCTCTGGTCTAAGAGGAAAAGGGTGATGGATACCCGGCGATACCATAGATACCGACACACTCCGGTCGTGGTCTAAAGCAAGGAATGAACCGGATTTTCCTTCTTTCTAATGTAGTATCTTTTATAGGTTCCTTCACTGCACTCACCATACACTAGCTCATCCTACTCTAGCATTTCTTCCAATTGAATAGGTCCTACTAAAGATTCAGAGCTACCTCGTGAGTACGAAGGGCTTAAGATCTAACTGGTCATTGTCTCGTGCTTTTTGGGCCCTTTATCAATTCTTATCGGCTGTTATCAGTTCATTTTACCTGAAACCTACGATCTCGTCATATCCTATACCACCTACTGAAGCGCCATCGATTCAATGCTAACAAAAGCCGTTACCTAAAAGACACCTCACCTTCTATGACTTGTTAGTCTCTACTGTTTGCTACAAACCCAGCCTTTGGTCATGAACGGGCCCGTTACATTCTACACTAATTACTGAAGTGTCAAGGCTTCACCGTTAATACGAAGTGAGCAATAGATATTCCCTTCTATTACTCCTTACCAGTTTCTATCAATTAATATCACTACGGATCTTTCATATGCTTTTCAGTACCAAATCTCTCTATCTCTTGCGATCCGATCAATAGCTGTAACTCCGTTTTGTTGACCTCTTGGCGTATATGGAGCTTGAAATGTTAAGCCAACTTTTAACTTTAATTACATGTATTAGTAATCACTCTCCTTTACCAGCATAGAGAAGTCCCGCAATTCGCTGTTTCACAGTTGGACCAGCTCCTCAGATCATCCCTTCTGTGATCTTCTCCCCTACTTTTTTTCCATTATAAACGTAATCATTCAACTGTGGTATTATCCAATTATACAAGTGGGAAGTGGGACCCGAAAGGTCAGCAATCCGGTTTTGCAAGTTGAAGCTCGTCACATGGAGAGAAAATTCTCATGACAACAAAGAGATAACTAAGGATAACTAACGAGATAAACTGATGACGCTGACTCGCCAGCCTGTGAAACTCAAGAAACGGTCAGAATACGGTGACCATGCCCAGACGTGAAGGTCTGATTCGCAGAAGCATTCCGATACAACTAGCTTATTTCCAACTACCATTAGTCTTTTACAATAGTCAGATGATATCATTAATATTTCAACTTTCTCGGAAGCATTTAATATTTTAACTTTCCCTTTCTTTCTCGGAAGTTACGGTGTCGTTTGTATTCTATCACTGACTATTATCACCTTTCATAACGAGAGGCATGTGTGCGAATACGACACTAGCAGCCGGTTGCACCGCGGATTGGTCGGATGGAACAGCTCAACTGGTTGCATGCGTAATATATCCCAAAGAGAAGAGACACGTTTCGTCTCAATTATGGCCCACATCAGTCAGTCACTCCGTGGTCCCTGACCACCCGTCTTGTAAGGGCGCACGATGGATGTTGAGGATTGTTGCTTGCCATAAAGAGTCTCCTTCATATCTGGAGACTGTCGAAGAATCCTGTACGATAATTGTAACGAATCTTCCCAAACTAAGAAGCTTCACAGACGGCCAAGATGGAATAGAGTTGTTTCAGCTATTGGCAAACCCTCTGTGAGCCTTAATAATTGACGACAATCACGTTTTGGGGAAAAGAGAAACGAGGGACCGGGGCGTGTTTTCTTTTCACCAGCGACAACAGCTTTTATTCGAACTCAATGCTCCATAGTGGTCATTTTTCTGAATTCTTCCACGAAGTTTTTATTTTTTGATGTGGCACCTGATGGTCATTCAACCATGAGCCCAATTATGTGAAGAAACCGTTCGAGGAGCTTTCGCGGGATCTGCAGATTCTGTCAGATTTCACCGAAGTTCTGAACGATCGGGGTTATTAGTCTGCTGTACCTCGAACGAGACTATATTGGTTTACGACAAGGACGAACTGACACGCTATTGGCGCCCACACAAGAACATTGATTATGAAGTGAGGGACAAGGGATATAGGCAGGGATTTCAACAAAAGGCTTTTTTATTTTCCTAGATTCGTCTTTATGAGTTTTTTCAGGTATACTGAATGCATCTAAAATCACAGTTAATTGGTCAGCTCGCTAAAGCGAGAGGCTTGGAACGGCCCATCTTCTGGCCGTTTTCGAACCTCTATATCTTCGACTGCAAGGATAAGTTCCAACAATGGCGTCAACACCCCAAGCAGTGTCAGAATAGTTAGGGATTAGTATAATACAAAGAGGTTTCTTCTGCTCAAGACAACGCAAAAGGGTAGCTACGATAGCTACGACAGTGTTCCACGTAAACATGTCAGGTGTAGCCGCGCCTTGACATCTGTTGAAAGCCAATTCGGCCACTGAGAGTATCCTCCCATTTTCTCATGTGTCGAGGCCTTCAACTTAGTTTTTTGGCATGGATAGATACGCCACATCCTATTTTCCAGGAGCTCGGAGAAGAGTTGCGGAGCCCCATTCCGTGCCACTCGCCGATAGAGGAAAATTTACGCTCTCACAATGGTACAAACTTAACGACCGAGAAAATTCATGTAAATCACCTCTTTTCAGCCAAGTAAACATAGTTGGACTGTTATCCAATTGATACCATATCGGGACATCCCACTTGAAGCTGAACATTGAAAAATCGTTTAATGGATGTAAGTGGAGTACTGTCATATTTGCTTACTTGAAGACCGGATTTCGATATTTCTCGATATCCTCCGCAGTGGGGTCTATCTTGAACCGGGACTGAGTAACTTCGAAGCACTTAGAATCGAAAGTCTTCACCGTTACTAATGGGTATCCCATCTGAAATAGAAGAACCCCCAACGAAATTTGGGAACGTAAGAAAATTTTGTGTTAAAAGTTGGATGTCGAGGGCTAGTCATTGAGAAAAATAAAAGGAATAAGCGCGCATACTGAGCGGCGTTCGGGCATGTTGGTGAACAACTTCACCCTAGATACGAAAGAATACTTCGCAATAATTGTGTATTTTGCGGAGATCATCAACGTAATTACTGACAATTATCCTGATTACCATCGTGGCATTCTACTTATCTGAACCATCAGCTAGATAAAGGATCCACCGGTCAGTAAGACCCAGCAACTATGCTTCTACTTTAACGCTAATAGCCTAGTGTGCGAACGCGAGGGGGAGGGTTTTACAGAGGTAAATGTGTCGAGAGTCTTCCGTTTCCCCATTAGTGCAACATATCAAGTCAGCTTCTCAGTGTTGTCCATATTCTGTCATCAAAATCATTATCAAACTGAGCATGTGATTATGTTTGTTTACTTTTGGTGTTGTTTCTCTTATTCTTATTACCCTTGTTACGCTCGGAGGAACCCTTGATGTTTCAGTGAAATATTGATGTGATCACTTGAGGGCTCGCGAAACGTCCTACTCTCCCCACGCATTCTACTTGGGAAAAATGTGATCTTTTGTTGACTTCAAGATCCCAGTCACATTCCTAATTTACCAAGAAAATTCATGATGTCATCTACAGGGGTGCCCAAAAAAAAGAGATTCTATGCATGGGGCCTAATCCAGGGCGGAATACGTCGCACCGATTGAAGCAGCAGAAGAATGGGATTGAGAAAATTGCACTAAGAATGTTGCTTGATGAAAGGGAGCAGGAACTCGTGTGGTTCCTATATCGGCATCAAGATATGAAGCCGTCTGCCATTGCGGAAGAGCTCAAGACGACTTATGGGATATCGGTCGGCAACAAGCAGATACGCAACTTTCTCAATCGAGTCGCTCACGGACAGATTCCTGGGCATCGTCGCTTAGGATCTGGAAGACCGCTGACTTCCTGTAGCCCCGACAACTCCGCAATGGGCTGCGACGCCGTGGGAGACGAACCGATCTCGCCGACCTCAGACGACATCAAATTTGCGTGGCAAAAACTTTCGATTTCGTCCGTGCGGAAGGCCATTAGAGAATTCCGTGATCGAGTACAATGTGTTCTTGATTTTGCGGGTGGTAATATTCAGTCAGAGTTTAATAAAGTTTGATTACATTGGTGGTACAAGCCGAGCAGTGGAAGTGTCTCTTTTTTTTTTTGGGCACCCCTGTAGTTTTTTAAGGTTGGCAAGGTTCATTGGCTGAACGACATGACATTCAATTAATGTGCGACAGTTGTTTATAGTCTGAAAAGAATTAATGTGGTCGCCTACACAAAAGAACCTTCGCGTGCCTCACCTACTTACCTACTTGATTATTCATATTCAGATCACTCAGTTTTGATGGAGTCGAGCTTGAGAATCTTGAGTAGACTTCCCGAATTTCCCGCGCGTGGCGATATAATATTAGTCACTAGATTTCCGTAAAGAAATCTCGCATTGGTCCAAGGCAGGATAGCCGAGTGGATAAGGGTGTAGGCTCACGTCTGCACTTAGAGCGAGTGCGAGTTCGATCTTTGCCGAGCCAATTCCATGCCTTGCAAAAGTTGCAATTAAGGTATCGATACCAGCGTCAGGCCCAGGTTCACAGGCCGGCTGATGGAGAAACCTAGTCACAACACACATGCCTGAAGTCTCAAAAAGTATCAGTGGTAAAGCTAGGACGTCACCCGGAAGTGGCGCACNTCCCGAGAGGTCGCCGATCTAATGAAGTGCAAAAATATCCAAGTCCTATGCCTTTAGGAGACCCGCTGGAAAGGAGCAAAAGCTAGGGAAATCGGAGAGGGTGTCAAACTCTACTACAATGGGGATGACGCCAAAGGAAATGGTGTGGTCATAGCAGTAGCGGAGTCTCTGACGGCGGAGGCGGAGTCCCTCAAAGACTCCGTCTCCGCCTCAGCAGGACCAGCAGTAGAATCATGGCTGTAAGAATAGACACGAAGGAGGGGTACTGGGCAATAATATCAGCCTACGCACCACAAGTCGGCTGCCCTGTCTACGAAAAGGAAGAGTTCTAACTGAGCCTTGACGAGGCCATCCGATCAGTTCCAGAAGGGGATTATCTCACCATAGGAGGTGACCTGAATGAGCACGTCGGCA